TATTCTTCATTAAATTAATTTCTTAACCACCTGAGATGAAGGAAGTAGAATGGCTCATGTATGGTAGGTTGTGTAATTTTTGCCAAGTAAGAACTAATCAGGAGCAGGTAAGCTCATGTTAATGGGGTAATAGAAACCAAGAGGAAAGATGACGTCGTCTTTAATAGAAAGGTTCATTTGTTGTGGGTTTTGTTAAGTAGAGGGATCAATGTGCGCCACATTTAAGTAGTGGGGCTGACATACCACTACAATCAAAGTGGAGGGGTAGACATGTCATAAGGTTGTCAACAGCATGATATAGGCTTTAGTACTTTTTGGTACTTTATTTTTTTATTTTTTTAAAATATATGTAATGTTAATTAAAATAAATATATTTTGAATATTTTTGAAATATTAAAAAATTAAAAAACCTACGGTTACAATTATAGACTAGTGTCAATGAGCCCCTCAACTACACAAAATCTATAAATCAGCACTTTTAGTAAAGATGACATCATTTGCCTGTTAAATTGTCCATTGCTCCATTAAAATGGGATGACTAGGTAGTGATTAGATAATGACTAAACAATGACTTGTCACTTTAGAAATTTTCATGATACATTTTTTTATCCAAGTCATTACTTAGTCATCACTGAATCAATGTCTAATAATCTCATCTTAATGGGACAATTTAGGGGTGGCAATTTGCCCTGATGCCCATAGGGTTAGGGATGGCAACTGATCCTTATGGGGTTGGGGACCCTCTCCCCATCCCCATCCCCCCCAATGGTGGGTGAAGGGATCTTCGCGGGGAATTTTGATGAAGGGAAAAAAAGGGCCTCCGTCCCTATCTCCGCGGGAAATGAGGGCTCCCCGCAAGTATGGGGGATTCCCCATCAACTACAAAAATGCCTTATTCAGAAGAGGACAACAATCACTAAAATAAGGTTACCATCACTTCATTTAGTTCAAATTTAGAATAAAAAACATGAAAAAGCCTTACATTAAATTCAAATTTGTAAATAAGTTCCACTCCAATGAACATATTGGCCACTTAAGTGAACACAAGCAAAATAAACCCCAGGATTCTTCCATTAGTTTCTTTCTTTCTACGACTCAACTCAAAATGGCTATTCAAATCAATAACATCCTCTAAGGAAACCCATTATTATCACAGTTGATATATGCTAGAACAAAACACTATGAAATGAAAAAAAAACCCAAATCATAAAAATCAAGATTCAACTACGAACAATAGAAATTACATCATTTGGAAGGGAAAAATGACAAATCTAGTAGCAAGTCCGATGAATGAGAGAAGAGAAGCAACAACATGAAGGGGAAGCAACAGCCAATGCCTAAGAGATTGAGAAAGATCTAGCAACTAATCCAATCTTATGAGGCTAGAAAATGGTGAGGAGACAGAGATCAAGAGAATCTAAGATGAGACAAGAGATGAGTAAGCTTGAGAGGAGTTGAGACTTGAGAAGGCTAGAGGAATTGAGGTTTAAGAAGAGGAGAGTGAGTTTGAGAGGAAAGATGAGATGAGGGAGTCAAGGTTTGTGGTGGCTAGGGTTTGTGTGTTTGGTAGAATTGGGAATTTGGGATAAATATTTGGGTTGGGTTGGGTTGGGTTTGGGTAATTACTAATTAACAATTGGGTTTTTAAATGATATTATTATAATTATTAATTTATAAAAATATAAATTTATAATTTTTTTATTATATTTGAATCCCCACGGGGATCCATGGGGTGGGGAAAATTTTGTGGGGAAAAAATCACCTCCATCCTCGCCCCATGGAGGAAAATATTTCAAGAATCTCCACCCTTATGGCGGGGATCCTCGTGGAGCTCCAACGATTATGGAACAAACTGTCATCCCTACGCGGGGTCCCATGGGGATCCCCACCACAGTTTACATACTGCTGCTGGAGTGGACTACTACCAAGCTACATTGTTGCTACTAAATCCATTTAGACTGTTGCTATCGAACTCGAAGTCATCTGCCGATCCAATCTGTTGGAGTTGTTGTCGAACTGGACTGCTGAACTCTATCTTTGTGCTACCACTTATTGTGCTGCCGGACTACTTCACTTGCAGATCCAAACTGTTACAAGTTTAAATAATTTGTTTATGATTGAATTAACATAGAGAAAATATGGATTTTTGAGAGTTTACTTGATTCTCTAACTGCTCATAACCATTTTTATTAGTGAATGTTTATGAGACTAAATGATTGAAACACACAATAAAGGATTGAAACACACAATAAAAATTTATTCTTTTTCTCTTCTAGGCAATTTAATCTATTCACGATTCTACTGATGAGTTTGTTGTATTTTTGGATTTTTTGTTAAATGAATTTTTAAGGCAAAATTTCAGTTAGATTTAGATTTGAAAAAACATTAGGTGTGGGCTCCGGCTTCGTTGCCATGAAGCTTTCATTATTGGCTACCTTTAGTGTTTTTGAAGGCTTCATTTAATTGCTCTCAGTTTGGTACTGTTTGTTTGTTTTTGGTTGTGTTCGATCACAATTCAGTTCTATATATTAAGCTACAATCTCTTGGTTTGATATATTGGGTCTCAAAAATTGGGAATTTTGAGTTGGGTTTGTGATGTTTATGTAAAGATGGTGAATTTCTTGATTATGTGGGTGTTTTGCTTGAATATACATGCGCATTTTTTTTATACTAATAATATAAATAGTTTTTCTATAAATATGTTAACATGAAGTATTTACTAATTGTATTGTAGGATTTTTGATGAGTAAATGTGGATTTTGAAAGCTAAGGTGTTTTGAGCTGCCTTCCTTTCTTGCTCGAATCTGGATGTTGGTTTTTTTATTTATATTGGATTGATTTTTGCTTATATTTGGAACAAGTATGTTAGTTTAGCTATTTATGTTGAATTAATCTTTATTTATGTTTGAAACAAGTTTGTTAGTTTAACTATTTATGTTGAATTGATCTTTATTTATGTTTGAACAATTTATATTTGATTTTATATTTAAAAAATTTTAGTTAATT